ACATAAACGTTACGTAAGTTTTATGCGTATAAACATTTCAATCACTATACACTAAAATCTGGCCGTTTTAAGGCTGGAAGTATTTTTGGTGTAAAAAGCATAATACCTATAAAATGTAAATTATAATAATGAAATAAAAAGTAATTATTTGTAAGTTTACCGTGTATAAGTTTGTTATTAGTGCACCACTACTCCCCTCCAAACCAAAATTCCTTTAAATGACTGAATCTAACTTTAATTCAATCAAAAATTTTGCTCTGGTGTATCAAGTGTATTACGTATCTCAAAAGATTTTGTAGTTAGTTGGTGATTTAGGGAGATGAAGTTTTGATTTTCAGGGGGCTTACATAAAAATTAGGAAAAGCCGGAAAAGAAATTTTCGAAAAAACTGCGAAATTGCCTAAGCATTTACCTATTTCATTGTTTTTAATTTTTTCAATTATGTTTTCCACAGGAAATATTGTTAAAATCAAAAAACGACAAGTCAAATTAAACAAAATACAAATTAAAATTAAAATACGTTTGTCTCCATTCCCTTCCCAAATTTTCTTCTACATATAACCGTAGCACATACATCAATAACGTTGGTTTTTTTATAATGGTTTTTTTTTACATAGATTATGTATTATAATATAGTTTAGGTATTTTAATATATAATCAAATATATACGGGGAGTCTTGTATGGTTTTAAGAACGCTAATAATTCTGTCAGTATTTAATTTTTTTATTAACATATCTTTTTCAATCGGGTTCTGTATCAGGAGGACACAAATGTAGAGATAATAACATTTTTATTTTCATCTCTAAATCTCTGAAAAAAATAATTTTTTTTTTTAAATTTTTATAATTTTTTAAATTCTTTAAATAGCCTTTTTGTTAAATATTTGTTTTCAAAATTTCCAATGTATTACATTTCTTTATCCGATCATTAGTTTTTGAATTACTTAAATGATTTTTTTAACTTTGTATTACGACTGTGGTTGGTTTTCGCAGAACGGGTTAGTTTCGGTTTTCAAACCTTTCTCTAGATATAAAAACGGCTAATATAAAGAAACTGTTAATCAGATATAATTATATGATACATTCATATTTTTAAAATTATATGTTTAACAAATTGGCTATTCTGAAAATTTTTAAATACATTCATATTTTTAAAATTATATGTTTAACAAATTGGCTATTCTGAAAATTTTTAAAAGTAAACAAATAATTTTTTTTTTTTCTAAGTGTTTATGTGATTGATATTTATCTGCATTTGTGTCCTTCTGAAAAAAAATCCGACTGAAAAGAAAAAGTTGTAGTTATTNATAATTATATGATACATTCATATTTTTAAAATTATATGTTTAACAAATTGGCTATTCTGAAAATTTTTAAAAGTGAACAAATAATTTTTTTTTTTTCTAAGTGTTTATGTGATTGATATTTCGCTGCATTTGTGTCCCCCTGAAAAAAAATCCGACTGAAAAGAAAAAGTTGTAGTTATTCAGATTCGGATAATACTGTATATCGTCTTAATGATTGCAAATGTTTATCGTTTTCACAGTAGGGCTTAAAAGTGTGTTTATTAGCAATTATACAATTTTATTTCTTTAATACGACAACACAATTAGATATTATGGCTGAGGAAAAACAACTGATTTAATTGCTCAGTTTAAATATAAATATCTTAATAATATTTAAATAAATCTTTATGAATACTTAATTTTGATATTGACGAGTAACGTAACAAATGGTTTTGGACCCTTTACATTTGCATATTATGTATATTTATTAGTTTCCGTTGTACAAAAGCTGATATTTGTTATTGTAAATATCATGAAAACTATTATTGCATACGCACTACGTTTGGGTCATTCCGCGCTCGGTGAAACTACAGTTGATCAAGTGGTAAATTAAATGTCAAATGATGTTGATCGGTTTGATTCGGCATTAATACACATTCACCAATTATAGGTTATTATCACATATTTTGTCTGGGGTTTCGTCATTACTAAGAGTGGTTTCCGTCCATTTACAAGGTTTGAAAATATGGAATACACATGGAAAACAACGTTAAAAATAAACGACATTCAAAATTAACTTGTGCAATATTCAATGTATGTTCAGTTTGGTTTGGGAAAAAAATTGCAGAATTCCGATTGAAGACGGATAAATTTGAGCCCATTTAATGTACAAAATCATAATTGGTATATAAGTGATCAAAATTATGCTTAGGAACAATCATTTGCTAATCTTATAGAGCAAGTGAGAAGGTAGGTGGTAACATTTTTTGTGTATGTAATAGATATTATGTGAAATTAATGTCGACGATTATAAAACCGTAAATGTCATCAATTAAAGAAATTCAGTAAATTAGAGGGTCATTCATCAAAACTATTTTACAATCGTTATCAAAATAATACCTTGATAATAAGTAGTACATAATAGCCGGTTCTACCCCAGGATCAGGTGCAGGAATAGAAGCAAATACGAAGTGCTATACCTAATACCTGGCCGCCCGAACTGCCAGCCACTTTATAGACCATTTAGGTCACGCCCACTTTCGACATTATTACCACACTGTTATTACGGTTATATCTGCTGTTATCACAAGTTATACAATATTTATCTTATCACATGGGTGAAAAAGTAACCTTGCTATACTTTCAGCTACCCAGTTTCAACTATTTTTAAATATTAGGCTACATTTATATAACCTTAATGGAAGGATTTTTTTTTTTAAATAAAAAGACAAAATTTATTTAGGTAAATACTTATTTATTATTTTTAACAATACAAAATATTTGTATAAAATATAATGTAATGTTAGGTTAGTTTAGTATAGGTTTGGTTAAGTAAGTTAAGCATAGGTTTGATCGGAAAAAAAAAAATTTGGTCATGTAAGATTAGGCAATAAGTAGCCGGTGTTTTTTTTTTCCTATCTAACCTATGCTTAACTTACCTAACATTATATTTTGTACATTAAAAGTTAGCATGGCACAACAAGATTGGAGGTGACAATATATAACTATACTATTGGAGATTATTATAAGACAAGGGACGTATTAAAACCACTGGAAGATTGTTGAGGTTAATTTGAAAATAGTAAAATGTATTTCGAAATGCACCGTTTTATTCAGTGCGGATTGCTAAAATGTGGCTAAAATTGATAGAGAGTTTACAGAATATATGTTGCATCGTTTTTAATAATTTCATTAAAAATCCAACTCATTATGGAAGTGTCGAAAAATTATTTTATTAACATTTTCAATGATCAATATTTCAAAAAACACCAATTTAAAATGTTAATTTTTCCATTGCATTAAAAAAGGAATTAAATTATTAAACAATGTTAGAAGCAATGTTCTAAAAGATATTCAAAGCATTTCAATAGACTTTTGTACCGTATTGGTTATCAGACCCGTATAATGAACTGTGGAGGACTGGGGACCATATAAAAAACAAATAAGCAAGATAAAAAAGTTTCTCAAATATTTAATTAAAATCGTAATATGGTTTTTTTGGGATCCCTCTCATATCTCCCCTAATGTAAAGAATTGAAAAGATACACGTGAAAGGTTTTGATTTTTTTCTCAATATGCACACAAAGAATTTACACGTTTATAGTTCTAATTTAATCGGAATTGATATATAAATTATAACCAACATAATATACTCAAGCGGAAAAAAAATTCAGCGTTTATAATCAACTCTAAAATTGTAACATACTAAAAGTTTTTGGTTTTTATTTAAAAATATCAAATAATATAAAGTGTTAAAATTCCCTAAATAATAAAGAAGGGAAAACGAGTAATTTTCTAGTGAATTAGCATGTAGTATGTGTTATTTTAATATGTATACACGTTTATTGTATTTCGTTGCAATGAAGACAATAGTGTGTGGTTAAACATTTTGACATAATACTATATTGAAAACATACCCGTAAATATTAGAGCCTCGTCACTAATATACGGCTATTTTAATGCAAATGTTCATTATTTTTCTTTAAATAGACTTGGAATTGGAAGGATCATACATTTCGAAAAATCGTCGTAGTCTAACATATATTTTCTGCGAAAAATATAAGTAGCAGTAACAGAAAATCAGATTGTTCTATTCATTAGAAACTTGACGAATTTGAACTTCGAATATACTCACCAAATTTTGCATGTTTTTCGAGGAAAAGATTTTGGAGAAGTTTATCCACTATACTAAAGAAATTATTGAATTCACAGTCCCGGGTATAGAGGGTAACATAATAGAATAGTATTTATAAGTCTACAGTAAAATTAATTTCCATATTATATTACGTAAACGACAAAATTACAATATGGAGAATTAAACGATTTTATCTTATATTTACAATAATAATTACAAGTTATAACTCAATAATAACACAACGAATAATTGAACTTGAAATTAACATATTCAAATTAATTGTAGTATTAATCTCTGGAGAATGAATTTTGTGAAATAATGCACAGGTATGTCTTAAATTCCGTCAATTTTAGTAGTCCTGAAACAAATATCATATTTAAAAAAGAAAAAAAAACTAAATAAATAAATCTTACTTTTAAACTGTAACTTCCGGATAAGTTATAATAATATACTTTATCATTTATTATTGCGGATCGACTTTTGATTTTCTTTACCCTGTATACTATGTTCTATCCAATTCTGCGGGTAGAAAAGAGGGCATAACGAAGTATGGTTCGTTTTGATGCTCAACAACTGGTTATCACATACAACGATAGACCCTGGTTTCAATAACTTAATAATAACAATATCGTTATATTAGTTCATATCAAAACAAATATTGAATTGAAATATAGGTTAACTAATTGTAATATAAATATCATTAGGTAAAATACACATTACATTAAGTTGGGACACATTACCTTATACGAAAAACATTGAAAACCATAAAAAACCAAAATATCGTATTAAAATATAATAATATGTTTCGTTTATAAAATGAAAACATTTCTCTTGTTTACTTCGCCCGCACGACCTATTTAATTCATGGAACGACAATGCACATATAATGTAGGGAAGAGATGAATATCGAAAAATTTTTATTTACTGTTTACTTTAAAAGACGGGTATAGTTTTCGAGAGTGGTGCACGGGAGAGTAATTACAAAATGGTGCTTTAAGAAATAGACTGTAAAAGGATAACGATTTTTAAAAATGACATAGTTAAGAATATTACCTCGAAGTCCAATTCAAATTNCTGTCCTATCAGATTATATGACAAACCACGCACGACGCCATCCTGAAAAACACATAAATGTACATAACATAATTATGATTGATAGGGATCACATTAAAACAATTTTTTTTTTCATTCAAGAAAAAAAAAACCTTAAGTCATTGTACTCTATTCTACATCATGTTTTACTCACCGAACAACGGGTCACAACGAAACAATTGAACTCCTCCACAATTTCGTTCGCTGGTAATTTGAGAGCTACCGCTGAAACATTTGTGGTTTCGTTCGTGGTAATCAGCTATAACATAGTTAAATCTTATTAAATCATATTAAGGTAAACTTCATAGATGTATTTCGAAATTATCTACGGGTAAGAAATAATGTTGATGTAAATATTATCTGACTTCAATATTCCCGAGGCACATGCTGTACATAGGTTTTAATTTTAATATTAAGATTACATTAGGGATTTTTTAATTATTTATAACACAATAACGATTTTTGTTTACATTTGATAATGTACATTAAGTAAAGTATATGGTATTCTCCGATTCCGATTTTATTCGTGTAGTTTATAATTGGGCAATCGAATTTGTCTGATGTTCTTAATTTATTTATAGGTAAGCCACCTGGTTCGAAATAAAATTGATTATTTCTAAAATGTAGTCAAATTCCGGACATCAATAAATAATGTGCAGATAGTAAAAATATTAGGTAAACAGTGTTACTAACAGTTTTAAAAAATAAATATCGTAAACAGAAAAGTTTTTAAACAAATAACGTTAAAATAAATTTTTCTTTACAAATTTAAGCTATACCCAATAAATAGCTATCGAGTATAAGGGATGTAATGTTTCATGCGTATATCAGTACTCATTATTGTATAATTTACAAGAAGTAAAGGGATGGTCTCTCTTTCTATTATAATAATGTATTATTAGTGTGTTGATTGGTATTGATTGTTTTTCAAAGAATGCCTCAATGTTATAATCAAAAACACAAGGAGGAAAATCGGCCGATCTATGCAGCTGAACTGCCACTAATTGGTTTTTTTTTTTTTTTTTTTTTAAGTTACGATTTAAATATTAAAATCAAAGGGTATTGTAAAATCTTCATTTTATTTGTCCTTTGATTGAATTTTAATTTTTACAGCAAATAATACGAAAATATCACTAAACTCTATTCTGAACATATAATTAAAATGTGTACAATGAAATGCTTCTTCGAACTATGAGAACTATTATGGACCTTGGTATTTTTTGTTATTCCTAAACTTTATATCGAATGTCATGTCAACAACATTCCTAATAGATCAAACAACATCCTTGGTTATATTCATCGAAATTGTGCTAATTTTAATGATTCATTAAGCTAATAATTCAATAATGAATTACACTGAAGTAACCCATACAAGCAACTACTGTATACAAGCAATAATGTTTAGCCGAGATGCTCCTACTATTTATATTTAAATATACAAAATTGAAANCTAAACTTTATATCGAATGTAATGTCAACAACATTCCTAATAGATCAAACAACATCCTTGGTTATATTCGTCGAAATTGTGCTGATTTTAATGGTTCATTAAACTAATAATTCAATAATGAATTACACTGAAGTAACCCATACAAGCAACTACTGTATACAAGCAATAATGTTTAGCCGAGATGCTCCTACTAATGGGTGGTAAACATCAACTACTACATTGTTGGAGAAGAGAAAAATATATTAGGATGTTTGGGGATTATGGGCTAGACGACCACACTTATAAATGCCGTTTAATAAGTGATTTGACGGGGACGTGCGGCAAGGCCCGCGCGTTATTATATTTAAATATTCAAAACAGAAATAAGCTGGTTCAGAATTAGCCAAAGTTAGATTTGCGCGCAATACATATATACAAATGAAAAGAGTAATAAAATGAAAATATTAACAGTGTAATCGGAAACTTGTTCACGCGGGTGTACATAAACAAATGGTTTGCTAACCTATAAATTGATACAAAAAAACATATTATACAAGGCTATCACGACTCACGACCAGACGTTATTGGCGGCGGTCCAATGTGGTATGGCAGATAAGCAGCGATAGGGGTGACTTGACGGCGACAAAAGTCCCACGAGGTGGCGTTGTTTTGGCTTCGACTTCTGTTGAGATTAAGTGGACCGCGGAGGACAATCGTCTCACCAACCAGCGGTCAACGACGCAAGGGCTTAAAAATCATGTATAGCGGATACGAATCGGACGCAAGCGGATGATACTGCGCAAACGCGTGACGAAACGAAACGTAGCGGATATAAACGAACTTGATTAAGCTCCCGTTAACTGGAGCTTGGACGTTGGAGCCGCAACACGTGCACGGCACAAGAAGCGGCTCGATGGCGTAAACACGAGTGGCGTCGACGTAAAACACGGCGATTATATGAGATGCGGGCGTTCGCGCTGAAACTTAAATCGATAAACGACCCGACAACCTCAATGGACAACAACGGAAACTAAAACGCAATAGACTCAGGCGATAGGCCACGAGTGTACGGCAAAGGTCGCACACACACGAAGGTCGACCGGGCGAGCGGTACCGGTTTGCACGGTGACAAAGCTAAGTGGAAGGCAGGGGTGCGGGACGGCCGGTCCAAAAACACTAGTAGGTACCGGTGATAACGGTGCGTGGGGTACCGGTGATAACGGTGCATGAACAAATAATCTCCCCTCCACCAATAGAATTATGGAAACAACGTATAAATTAAAATCGATTTGTTCATATCACTAAACTTTAACTCTTTCGAAATGTGTAGTTTTTTTCAAACTAGTTAATGTAATGGTATTAGTATTTTATTGATTGTTAATTGTCTGTTTTTTTTGCAATATTTTCTTATCAATATCATTGTTATCGAACGTTTGTTATTAAACTACATGTAATTGGGCATGAAGTAAATGGCTCATTTAAAATAAAACTAATTAAATAAATATGTACTCTTTAATACTTGCTTTAAATAACAGTAAATCATCAATACCGTCTGGAGCTTCGTCCCACATAATATCACCAACGTTAATATGGTTACTAAGTTCCACATTAGAATATAATATTCCTTCGGAATTCGTATGATTAATTGCATCCAAAAATACTATCACGGATGTATCGGATCTAATATCAAAGTACCTAAGACAAATTTAAAATGCATTTAGATAAGTACAAAAAGTAATATGAAAGCCAATTTAAATTAAATTGAATATATTAAGACCATAAATCCCTTTAATGTAAATTATTTGTAAAAAATATGATTCTTAAAGCTGGCATACTCATTATGTATTTTTACTTCGCTCCATGTGTAGTCTACACATTCTTGTGAAAACGCCAGAAGGTAAAATATAAAAATTGTATTATTATTTTTATTAAGAAAATAATACAT